GAATAAAGCTGGGGGTAACCAAAACATGACATGGAATCAGTTTCTGTAGTCATAGAGTATTTTTCTAAACCTTGCTAGTAGAAGCAGACTACTTGGTTGGGATTCGTATTATAATAACAAGTAATCGCTGAAGACTGGGTGAAGTATCAGAATCAGTCAAAATTGCGTAGATACATGTACTGTATATAATCCTCTAGATTTTGAGCTCTAGAATTCATTTAATAAGAAAGAAAGATTAGTTCAGCGAAGAGTTCTCTTTTCGGCGAATTCATTTTGAAAGCTGTACAATCGCAAATATATATACTTATTTATACAGGGTGATAATAATACTGATAATAAACTTATGATATACATGGTGACGGTGAGGTTAAATAAACAAAGGTATTAGAAAAAAATTTTTTTAAAAACAAGGAAAGTTTGATAGATAATGGCTTAGATATTCATCGGGTAAGAGTAGCTCAGCATGATAAAATAACATAAAATGTTGAAACAGAGATGAAATGTAATCGGAATGATCGTTGAAATAAAAACAAACCGGTTGGGGGTACAAGATTTGAAGGGAAGATGGAAGGTGAAGCAGGTGGCTGTAAAAGAACAAGAGTAATGAGAAAGAGAAAAAAAAATTTTAATACATTAAGACCACGGTAAAAGAAGAGGTTGTACCAGTCTCTTTTGTACACATAATTCTGGTTTTTCAAAATGTATGGCTATTGCCTCGGCAATGCAAAGGAGATGTAGTCTAATTGTCTTAGGAAGGTTTCTACTTACCTTGTAGATGAATTTGAACGCAGAGTCTGTCTTGATTGAGTGACCTGTGTTCACAAGGTGTTCGATTATAGAACTTCTTATTGAACCGCTGCCTCCTCTTCTTAGCCACGCCGGACAATGTTCTTGAATTCTTTTGGATAAAGTACGCATCGAACGACCTATATACCTAGCTCCACAAGAGCAGGTAAATTGGTAAATGCACATTGAATTGGTCAGATGCGATAATTTATCTTTCAGATTATTGGCGAACAGTGATCGGCTGGAGAATAATATTCGCAATGTTGCTGCGAAAAATGTTCTTTTTAAAGAATCTGAAATTCTCCTCTTTAAGATATGTGCGGCTCTATCGCCTTTGAAGTCGATGTTCATGTATAAAATTTTCTTTTCTACTGCAGTGGTTTGTGGTCTTGGCATTTTCGGTTTCATGTTCTTATCAATGAATATAGAAGGATATCCGTTTTTGATAAGTATCTCTTTTAAAAAACTCAATTCTTCCTCTACGACCTCAGGGCTACAGATTCTTCGTATTCTTGTGGCGAGAGTGATTATTAAGTTTCTTTTTCGGCTGATGGGAACCCAACTGTGGAAATTTGATAGTTGGCCATTCCATATGGGTTTCCTGTAGATAGATCTTTTTAATGTACCATCTTGTTTCCTTGTTATATCTACATCAAGGAAGTGAATATTTTGTTTGCTTTCAACTTCAATTGTGAATTTTATTGATGGGTGACAATTATTAAATGTATTTAGGAGATCACTTAAGTTACATTTGTTATCACAAATGATAAAGATATCATCCATATACCTTTTATATAAGTGGAGGTTTTCTATAATTCTTTTAAGTTGGTTGTTTTCTAAACTGGCCATGAAGCAATCTGCCAGTAATGGACCAAGTGGGGATCCCATTGCTATACCATCCTTCTGTCTACATTCTACATTCTACATTCAACGACGTAATTTATAGACAGAAGGATGGTATAGCAATGGGATCCCCACTTGGTCCATTACTGGCAGATTGCTTCATGGCCAGTTTAGAAAACAACCAACTTAAAAGAATTATAGAAAACCTCCACTTATATAAAAGGTATATGGATGATATCTTTATCATTTGTGATAACAAATGTAACTTAAGTGATCTCCTAAATACATTTAATAATTGTCACCCATCAATAAAATTCACAATTGAAGTTGAAAGCAAACAAAATATTCACTTCCTTGATGTAGATATAACAAGGAAACAAGATGGTACATTAAAAAGATCTATCTACAGGAAACCCATATGGAATGGCCAACTATCAAATTTCCACAGTTGGGTTCCCATCAGCCGAAAAAGAAACTTAATAATCACTCTCGCCACAAGAATACGAAGAATCTGTAGCCCTGAGGTCGTAGAGGAAGAATTGAGTTTTTTAAAAGAGATACTTATCAAAAACGGATATCCTTCTATATTCATTGATAAGAACATGAAACCGAAAATGCCAAGACCACAAACCACTGCAGTAGAAAAGAAAATTTTATACATGAACATCGACTTCAAAGGCGATAGAGCCGCACATATCTTAAAGAGGAGAATTTCAGATTCTTTAAAAAGAACATTTTTCGCAGCAACATTGCGAATATTATTCTCCAGCCGATCACTGTTCGCCAATAATCTGAAAGATAAATTATCGCATCTGACCAATTCAATGTGCATTTACCAATTTACCTGCTCTTGTGGAGCTAGGTATATAGGTCGTTCGATGCGTACTTTATCCAAAAGAATTCAAGAACATTGTCCGGCGTGGCTAAGAAGAGGAGGCAGCGGTTCAATAAGAAGTTCTATAATCGAACACCTTGTGAACACAGGTCACTCAATCAAGACAGACTCTGCGTTCAAATTCATCTACAAGGTAAGTAGAAACCTTCCTAAGACAATTAGACTACATCTCCTTTGCATTGCCGAGGCAATAGCCATACATTTTGAAAAACCAGAATTATGTGTACAAAAGAGACTGGTACAACCTCTTCTTTTACCGTGGTCTTAATGTATTAAAATTTTTTTTTCTCTTTCTCATTACTCTTGTTCTTTTACAGCCACCTGCTTCACCTTCCATCTTCCCTTCAAATCTTGTACCCCCAACCGGTTTGTTTTTATTTCAACGATCATTCCGATTACATTTCATCTCTGTTTCAACATTTTATGTTATTTTATCATGCTGAGCTACTCTTACCCGATGAATATCTAAGCCATTATCTATCAAACTTTCCTTGTTTTAAAAAAAATTTTTTTCTAATACCTTTGTTTATTTAACCTCACCGTCACCATGTATATCATAAGTTTATTATCAGTATTATTATCACCCTGTATAAATAAGTATATATATTTGCGATTGTACAGCTTTCAAAATGAATTCGCCGAAAAGAGAACTCTTCGCTGAACTAATCTTTCTTTCTTATTTAATGTCATAATGGGTGTATTCCGTTTATTAAAGAATTCATTTACACAAAGCTTTACATCCTGTTCTTTTTTTAACCATATTATTCATGCCATGACATTTCTCAGAATCGATCACTATGGTGTAGGTGTATAAACTCGCTGCCTTCCCTTAAGCTGAGATTAAAATTGCTTCATACCTTTCTTTATACATACGAAATCTTTCTTCCTGTACTATATCCTTATATGCAATCTTTCTTATATGTATTACCACCATTGTCTTAATTACTCCTATGAATCCGGTGTTCATCCTGCTGTGCTAATGCGGTATGGCAACTTGGACCGATGTATATATGTGCCTGATTCTACGTTGTAGCTGAATGACTAACTTTATGTCTAATCTCTCTCATTATAGTGACAACGACGTCATTTCGACTTATTTACTACTCATTGTGTTAATTTAATCTCATCGTGTGAATGTGGTATGACATTTAGGTCAACGTAACTCACTGTTTTTTTTATCTCAAAGCATACATCACTCAATTAAAACATTCTTTTCAATTACGTTAAAGTGAAACATCAATGAATTTGGTTTTTACTTGATAAAGACTTTCAAACCTAGTTAATTCACATAAATTGTTATTACAAATAACTCTCTGATTAACTGAGAAATATATAAACGCGAAAATCGAAAATGATGGTAGAATGAGGATGTATGTATTCTGTAGTTCTGTACGTACACCTGGTAAAAACATGCACTAAAAATAAAATTCAGATATGACAGATTCGCATACATTTTAAAAAACAATATCTTTCTTATATTTACGTCTAAATAGAGTAAGTCAATTGGTAGAAAACTGTCACGTCTTTTATCAGCTTCAAAAGTTTAAGTGTCTAGAAAGTCATTGGTTGAACATGATTTTATTCATAATAAAAAGAAGTTAACATTCAAATGTTCTTACTCACACTAAAAATAAAAGCCAAGTATTTTATCATGTGTATAAAATTGTGTCAAAGACAATTGTTAAATCGTTTGATTGTAATAACCCCAAAAGTATTTTAGATATCTGGTATGATTTAAATGTAAACTCTCTTATTAACCTTCACAGTAACATGGAAATATTGAGTTGATAACAGAGTATAATGTATAGGACAAAATATGGTAGACCACCTATTTATGCACATTTGAAAAATGCTTGTTAAACAGGAATAATACAACACGAATACAAGTATGGAGTCTTTAATACCTTCGAAGCATTAATTAATTTAGCTGAGACAACCCATTAAACCATGTTCATGTTTGCTGGGGATAGAAATCCGCAGACATTGAGTAACTTATCATAACTCGTTACTTAGAAAACGTACGTGAGTAGAGCATCTTGATCAAGACAGTCATATTGTTAGTACGTATGAAGGATTCATAAAGTAGTCAGCAAACCAAGACAAATACATTAGTTTGTGAACTCAGTGGTTTTAAAGTGTAGCCGTAATAACTAAGTGACAACGAGATGATAAGGATAAATTGGTAGAGGTTACATTTGGCACAAACAAAAGTCAATCGCAGTTACACAGATTTGTTCATTCTTTAATTTTATCAAAATGTAAAAGAAAATAATAACGTTTGTGTAATAAGCAATAACAAGCAAACATCACCGTCAATAACAAAACTAGTTTCAATCTTTTGAAAACATACTCGTAAGTAAACATTGTAAGGAATTCAAATTCGAAAACTTGATTTAAAAGTCTAGTACTAACCCAATTTCTTATGATAAGAGAGCATGAGATCAAATATGATGCATTAAAATAGTCGAAAACTTACTTTTCTCAGCACCATAAAACGCATCAGGAAAAATACTCCGATAGATGCCAAACCGCTTAGAAGAGGTGAGAGAAACCATGATCCAACTAAATTCAAATGGATAAAACAATGTAACAACAATCAAATCAACGTTATCTATTTTAAGAAGTAATGATGCTCACAAGTCATGTTAGGTTGATGATAAACAAAATGTGATATAATCATTATCGAGTATACAATTCATGGGTGATAGTAGAAAGTCAACAATTAATTTCGTAGGCTTAATTTATTTGCTTATTATTAATATTGGTGTGTTATTTCATTTAGTCTATATTTTGAAACAAAATCTTGTATAATATTATCTATGTTATAAGATGCTTTCATAAACGCTATACGAAAGGTATGATTTCTATTTGTAAAAGTCTCAGAGATTAAAATTCAATAGTTATAACAATTCACCTAACAGCATGATCTGGTTTACTACAAGGAAATAATCAAAATTATCTAAAATAGAAAAAGTTGAAAGTTATTTTACACTAAATTGTTCAGTCACATTTACAGTATTAACATGAATCATTCAGTGAAAAAAATATATCAGAACAGCCGTATATGATGTTGAATATATTATGTGGACGTCATTCTTATAGAGTGGTTATAAAAGGCATTATGCCATGGTCAGAATTACTTTCGACCTAATCTATCTTCGATAGTTTTGAATTTTTCCATGGAGAAGCTCAGATTGGACTGCCGAATCAAATTCTGAATGCACTTCATTTGAATTTCTGAAATTTTTACAGATATAATTTATAACCAATTTCTTCCGCGACCAATTTTTGTGAAAATACTCGCCCAAATCTGGACGAGACTTCAGTTAGAGTAATAAGCATGTAAAAATGACAGACGACATTGTAAACCCTTGGGTTAATGAAATGAATACTGGTCACGAATGCATATCTGGATGTTGACAACAACTGAACATTGATGACCAACTTTAACACAGACGGGCGGAATTAAGTCTACATGTTGAACAACTGAAAAGTTTGCAACAAACTTGACAATTTCTAATTACAATTTATAAAGATACAGTCTTTAAATATTAATAAGAAATCTGGTAAAAGCATGGTGCGGCAAAGAGCCACTCACAGTCAAGAGTGCAAATTTTAGGCTTTTGTGTGAAATTCAAAGATTACGTATAATCAACAGTACAAATACTTTCGTATGTCTTTCAAAACGTTTAAAATGATTGTAGATAATTATCTTTTGCAACTGTATAGTAAAAATGATATTACTAAACGCATCAAATGATCAATCCTTTTTCTGTAGATTATATATAACTGGCAAATCAACACCATCCCTATAATCCTAACTCTAAACTTTTAATCCTGTAACAAACTTTAACCTGGTAACAGTACATTATATAGACGAACTAATCACATAGTGCCTTTTGTATTCTCGAGTGAAATTCATTCATCCATATGGCGACAGAGTATTCTTTCACTTCAGCTGACGCCATTTCGTGATGAAAACCCTAACTCTAACTTCGGACAATGTAGGGACTCCTAAGAATTTTTTGGGGTCCTTTAAAGTATTCAAAAAGATGGACGGTCTATATTCATGAGGACGAGTTTATATGTAGTTGTTTCTTCGACTTACAAACAAAGTAACTTTCAAAAGACATTGATAGATTTATTTCATGAAATCTGTATACAATTCTGTTACATAACCTATCCATTTATAAAATCTACTTTCTGATCGTCTAGAAACTAGATGGAAATTCGTCGCAGTTGTCTTAAACTCATCCTTATACTGTACTGTTACCAGAAATACTAGCATTAATTCAAAGAAACGTTCACCATTTTCATAATTTACAATGGATATTACATTTTTATCCCCTTACTGCTCTAGAAAGTATTCATTTATGGTAATTGTTAAAAGTGTACATCAGAAAATTAAACGATTATTAAAACAATGCAATTGTAAGTTGAACTTGCACAGAAATATGTTGTGGCTAAAAATAAAATCAAATGATAAAAGAAATTTCGTGATCAGTAAGTAGATCGGTTTAACATAAGATGGTTAATGTTAGCATCCAATAATTACATTTTGAGTGTGTCTACATTGGTTACTGTCAACATGAGAATATTTCAACTTTTCCTAGTCTACCAATAAGAATTCTTAAAATCGTTTGAAACTGACTAGTAAACATATTAGTTCGGACAAAATTTTATTGGACACAAAACTCAGTTAATATTTTCGATTCGAGATTTCCTTAAAAACAGATTTCCAGTAGTTCTTTTTAAGAGAATTAAGTTTACGTTCATTATTATCAATAAAGTATGGCTCGCTCCTTGTTCATCACCAAACCGAATCATTCAAACACATGAATTAAAAATACCTTTCGTTTCAACAATAGTTAAGTATTGTAGTAATTTGTTATATTAGTTATACAATATAATAAATAATTTGTCGATAAGAGGAATATTTGATTTTGATACTTAATAATCTTGTTGTCCAAGAAATATAGGTTAAAGAGCTTGACTTAGTGATTACAGTTTGGTGAAAGCCTAACGTATATTAACTTATTGACTTGTTTATTCAAATAATCATATCTTGACAGGTTATATCACCGGAGTTTTAGTCACAGATAAACCAAAAACTTAATTTCATGCAGTCAAACAGTTAACTGGAGAATGAAGGAAATTTCACAGCTTATGTAATAATTTGTTTCATTACAAGCCTACATGACTTATTCAAACATTTGCACAGAATTTATTCTAATCTTTCCAGTCATTCTATGACACATACATTATTCTCGTTAATTAGTCCAGTGCAACCTTGAGCACGTTTTGTACATCTGTGTATAATAGTACGTATATGCATATCCCATTCCTGTATTTCTTACATGATTTATAAAAACTAAGTCACCTTACTATTCTCTGAGTCGGTGTACTACCGAACTCCAGTGCTTTGTACACTCTGTAGACATTTTATTTGTTTGTCTGTCATTCGACATCAGCATGTTTGAAGTATACGTACAAGTCGTGCTTGACTTTTATTATCTAAGTTGTATAAACATGATTTTTCGACAGAATGTATACGAAGTAAGTAGGATATACATTTCATTAGTATTAATACCGATTGATTATGTAGGCATCAACAACAAGGATATTAGATGTAATATTTACTAAATTACATTAAGATAATGTTCAGAAATAAAGTAATCAAATTGTTTATAAACCATATTTCATTGATAACGTTTTAAATAGTCTGAATATATGTCTTCTGTCTAGTTCATTAATTTATGGAGAATAATTCATTCTGAAGTCAGTTTTCATCAGCAAGTCATCGATAACAATGAATATTATTAGAGCTATCTATTGCTAATTGACTAAATTTAGAAGAATGTGAATTATTGTATTGATTCCTTGTTAAAACTAATTCTAAAATGAGAAAAAATTTTTAACAGACCAGCCATCTCAATTAACATAAGTCTATACAGCATGAATGTATCTAAAGTCAAGTGAAGAAACTGAACAAATTTATCCCACTTTAAAAAAAAGATAACTAGCCCTTTACAAGGTATCATTACCAAGGTTTGATTTGATAATTTCGAATGAATTGAGCATTGGGTAGATTGTTATAAATAAATAATATATTTGTAATATCCTAATGAGTAGAAAATTAGATTTTCTGACGTTTCGTGACTTAGTGTGAGTCACTTCTTCAGAGAATAAATAACCAAATTAAAATTAATCCAAGTTTAATTTGGTTATTTATTCTCTGAAGAAGTGACTTACACTAAGTCACGAAACGTCAGAAAATCTAATTTTCTACTCATTAGGATATTACAAATATATTACTTATTTACAGCCCTTTACAAGTTTTTTTTTAAAAACTATTTTGGGAAAACTTAACTAAGCTCTGTATGAAAATATTTGATTTATAGTTTATAAAAACGAATGAAAGGAATTACACAGAAAATAAGGTCCAAGTCACACGATTAAAGTCAATTCTATCCAATGACAACATTAGCTATCGTTACCATCCTATAATATGGCCATGATAGCATTCCATATTTATGTACAAACAAATAAAATGAACAGTTCTACATGTACAGTTGCATAAAATATAATATGTAAAAACAGGATGATTAACAGTCAAGTTATCAAATTATGTAGTATGAATATATTATACAAAAAAGTTAATACTTATTCAATCCTTATAAGTATAAAGTGTCAATAAGTAGGACAGTAAATTAATTATAATCATTATTGGAAGAAGACATCAAAAGGATGAATTGCAACTGGAAAAAACTGCAAAGGATTGCCCATGACAGTGTTGGCTGCAGAATGCTGGTGGACGACCTGTGCTCCTCCACGATGGGTAACAGGCATAAGCATGTAAATATTATTATTATTATTATTACTCAATAATTTGGCATATTTAATTGAACTGTCATGCTATAGACACGAATGTAGGCAAAATATAATAAAATCCTGAAAATGATGGAATTTATTACAGTATTTTTAATGTGAAGTAAATCTCGAAAAGGTGTATTTTTTCTTATTTAAACAGGGAAAGTCATGTAAATTTCAATAAAAAAGACCAATGTGAATCAAAAGTAAAGCCTAGAAATACAATGTAAGTTACAGTATTTAAATAGTATCATGTTTCTTCTCTAAATTACTTACAACACTATTATTATGATTATAAAACTGCTCAGTAGTTCAAGGAATAAAACTATTATTTGGTCTATGAGATTATTCATTATATTTAGTTTATCTTAGTCCACTATTATATAAATCACTACCGTCATAGAATATATAGATTTCCCATCCAACTTATGTGATCACTTAAATTACAGCAAGTACTATTCATAATTAGGTGGTGAAGACTCAGCATTATCAAACCATGAATAATAAATACATACTAACTAATTGTAGCATTTCATAGCGGAGCAAAAAGAGAAAAGAGTTGAAGTAAACACGAAGAATATAGGCAAACAGAAATGTTTGTTCAAGAAAAGAAATATTATTTCTAAAATACCAAAGCGAAGGACAAATAAACAATGGAACAAATAGCAAACTGATCAGAAACGATTAAATTTTCACTACTTGAAGAAAAAATAAATAGGAAATATATCTTTGCACCGATGACATCATACTCAAACGACTGTATCTAGTGTTCTCCTGTAAATATAAATCAGATGTAAGTTTTGCTTTGGATCTTAGATACCTCATTCTACTGCGAAATAGATCTATGTTAACTTCGTTTTCAAAAAACTGAGACTACTATTATTTGATTTTGTTCTAAATATAGAAAAGCGAAACATTACTTCAAGCAACTCGGTGTATTATATTTTTGCGTTGTTTGTGGAACCATCATTGTGACAGAATTTGCATATGCATATAATTTTACATAAATAGTAGAAATCAGCTGAGTGAACACATACAATCATTGTTGAGTCAGATGATGAAATATACCGTCTAATCCTGATCACCTAACATGGGAAAACACATCAATAAAGTAAGTTTAATCCAGGAACAAACTGTTTGACTATATACATAGTGTGCAGTAGAAACTGTTCCAAAACGTATAACCATATATACAAAACATAATACGTATATAAAATCTAACACTTATCACCTTTGTTCTGTAGACAGAAAGTCCTGGGTTCGAATCCCGGTTCTGGGATCGTGGGCACACACTACTTAGGAGTCGCACGCTAGAATGAAAAGGCAGTCTAGTGCTTCCAATTTTCGGATGGCTGTCTGATTTAAATCGGTTTGTGATTTCATTGAAACTCAACAATCTCCACAACCTCAGACTGACAAAAATGTTTGACGTATTATGATTCCAACGTAGTTAAAAAGCGATAATAAGGAAAAACAGACTATGTTTAGATTTTGTAATGTAACTTTTATAGCTTATTAATTATCAGAATGTCTTATGATTTAAAATCTCTCCTAGGTTTTATCAAATCATCCGTTTTCTGTTAGGCTTTTCTAAATCATGTGGATTATCCTACGCTCCAGCATAAGAATACAACAAAGTGAAATTTACGAAATATTCTGTAGTTTACTATTGAAAATCAAGGTGCATAAAGTACATTATATAGATAGCCATGTCTAGTTGTCTAGGCCTAAGCAGTTATTTATTTATCAAAAGGGAACTAGATTTTACCAATAGCAATAGCTATCATAAGAAAAATAGTTTAATTCATAAAGATACTGTGAGGAGCAATAATGCTTAAGCATTTGACGCATAAAGGGACAAATTACTTACATTTCTAAACATTTATAAATGATAATAATAACTTTACTAACAAGTAGAATTCATGCTGTTCAAGTTTGAAATGGGACTCAAACTACAAAGTTATGAATTCGTATGAAATCATAATCATTCATATAGGGTTAAAATCTCTACTACACGAATAAATAACTACTGCAGTATCGAGTAAACAATATCACTACTAAATAATTTATTCTCATTAAATTATCAAAAGTGTATTCAGAAAAATAATTATCATGTTCATTATCTTTATATTAAAAAAAAACTCTTACCAATTTTGAGTAGTCCTTTCCATTGAATAGCATTGAGTCCAAAAACAACAAGACTAAAACCCATCGTTGCACCTACAATACTATGTGTGCCAGAGACTGGAAGACGGAAGAATGTAGCAACCAAAAGCCAAATACAAGAACCTATAGACAAATGAAACAAATATAACAGGAAATGGTAGAAAAAAGTTACTCGAAATAGTGAATATCTCCGTAAACTCTATCAGTATATGTATAATTCTATGAATACAGTTTACTGATGATAAAAGCTTATGATTATGAAATACATCCACTTAATGTCAATTATTTGATATTCGAGTTTAATTAACTGATATGCGCCCGTCAGAATAGAGATTAAGAAAACTGTAAGAAGTTATCTTTTAACCATTATACTAACTATGCTACATACCTGAAATAATCTCAAAATGTTAGAGTTAATCCCAAATTGAATAATACATAATAACAGTGTATACATTTAACTGCTTGTCATGAGTTCATTAGACCCAATATTACAGGCTTTAAGCAAACACAACATTTGCTAAACAAGTATACAAATATCTAATGGGTTCGTTTTTATTCAATAAAAATAAATAGCATTAAAAAATATGCCTATCACAAATGCAACCAATAATAAATTTTGATAAGTCACAAATTATTTTACAACAAAGATTATTTTAACAGGAAATTAGCAATCACCTTGAGAGAAGTAAATATTTGTTAAGAACATGGAGTATAAATGTGCCAACTTGACATTAAAACTATAATCACAAAAACTACGTTGGATTCTGCACACAGTTTCACTCAAACATAGGATAAAAACTAACAAATAACTTGACAATTATTTTATCAATATTGTAATAAGTACGTCATTGTTTTGGAATAATAAAATCTCCTTTTAAAACTAAGTATTTAAGATTTTTAAAGTTGCCATCAAATGTTTTATTGTGCAAAAGACATTAAACAGTTTGGTAACAACTGTAATTTAACAGTTGATATTAGTCAATCACAACGTAGAACCTATACGCATGTATATCGGTTCAAATTGCAATACCCCAATAGCACAGAGAGATGAAGTTGTTGTCAGGCCAGATCCTAGAATAGTAGAGGTAGTAACAGTATCAGTGGTAATAGGCAAGATTGGACATCGAAGATATGACTCGAAAAGAAAATATAAATTAGCAGAATAACGACAAAGAATGGATGCACCTGAGCCGTTCCAAACGATTTAGAACCATGTCATTCAACGTTTTCAACCATTGATTACGATAATCACGCAACCCCCGACCAGGTAGTACTTATTAACACTAGTTAAATCCAGTTGTCAGTGACTCCATGGATTGATGTCATGTTTTGGTTTGGCTGCCCCATAGTTTCCCTCCAGCCTACTCCTGCACCAGAAAACATCGACTGTCGAGGTAGGCGGTGGTTGGGCATACGCAACACATGTCCCAAACACCTCAGTTGATGTAGATTTATTAGATCATCAATCGATTTGCCTAGTACTCTATTCCTAACCCAGACATTGAATATTCCGTGATCTCAAAATACACTTCTAGTGGCATTATATCTGACTCTAGTTAGATCGTTTCTGATTGTTATCGAGATATATACATGTTGCCAATCCTCGACTTAACTCGCGTTAGTGAATGACGGAATTAAAGTAAGACAAATACAAGAATGGGTTTTGAATACGTATATTTTATACAATCGTTGATCGGAATAGACAGTCAGAAAGACGGAGCGAAGGAAGAGAAGAGGAGAGAGTGAAGCGAAACGAACCGGAGAAGACATGTCAAACAAATCAACTGAACCAAGAGTTACTCAATATTTCTAGTCAGACAAAAAACAGGTTACAGACATGTGATGAGTCGAATAACAAATGGACACACATACTTACTTACTTACTTACGCCTGTTACTCCTCGTGAAGGAGCATAGGCCGCTCACCAGCGTTCTCCATCCAACCCTGTCCTGGGCAATCCTTTCTAGGTCCGTCCAGTTGTAATTCGTCGTTTTCATATCTGCTTCTATTATCCGACGCAATGTGTTCTTTGGCCTTCCTCTTTTTCGCTTCCCCTCAGGATTCCAAGTTAGGGCTTGCCTCGTGATGCAGTTTGACGATTTGCGTAATGTATGTCCTATCCATTTCCATCGTCTTTTCCTAATTTCTTCTTCAGCTGGAAGTTGGTTTGTTCTTTCCCACAGAAGGCTGTTGCTGATGGTATCCGGCCAATGGATGTTGAGTATCTTGCGAAGACAGCTATTTATAAATACTTGTACTTTCTTGATTGTGGTTGTTGTAGTTCTCCAAGTTTCAGCTCCATACAGTAGAACTGCCTTGACGTTCGTATTGAAGATTCTCACTTTGATATTGGTTGAAAGTTGTTTTGAGTTCCATATGTTCTTCAATTGTAGGAATGCGACCCTTGCTTTGCCGATCCTCGCCTTTACGTCTGCATCTGAGCCTCCTTGTTCATCGATGATGCTTCCCAGATATGTGAAGGATTCTACATCTTCCAGAGTTTCGCCATCAAGAGTGATTGGATTGCTGTTCTCCGCTTTGAATTTGAGGACCTTAGTTTTCCCTTTGTGTATGCTGAGGCCTACTGATGCAGAGACTGCTGCTACACTGGCTGTCTTCATCTGCATCTGTTCGTGTGTACGTGATAGGAGGGGTAGGTCATCTGCGAAGTCCAAATCGTCTAATTGATTCTGAGCTGTCCATTGTATTCCGTGTTTTCCTTCAGATGTTGAGGTCTTCATAATCCAGTCGACCACCAGAAGAAAAAGGAAGGGAGAGAGTAAACAGCCTTGTCTGACTCCGGTCCTTACTTGGAATGCATCTGTCAGCTGTCCTCCATGCACTACTTTGCACTGTAGTCCGTCGTATGAGTTTCGGATTATATTGACAATCTTCTCAGGAATTCCGTAGTGTCGAAGAAGTTTCCATAACGTCCTCCTGTCTACACTGTCGAATGCCTTTTCATAATCAATGAAGTTGATGTATAATGATGAGTTCCACTCAACTGATTGTTCGACGATGATCCGTAGTGTTGCAATTTGGTCTGTGCACGACCGATCCTTACGGAATCCAGGTTGTTGATCTCGAAGTTGGGCGTCTACTGCATCCTTCATCCGGTTCAGCAACACTCTGTTGAAGACTTTCCCTGGTATTGACAGTAGTGTTATGCCTCTGTAGTTCTCACATTTGCTCAGATCTCCTTTCTTTGGAATCTTGACGAGGTGTCCTTCTTTCCAGTCCATCGGCACTTGTTCCTCTTCCCAAATCTTTTTGAATAGAAGATAAAGCATGCTTGTGGTTGTTTCGATGTCTGATTTCAGTGCTTCAGCTGGTATGTTGTCGGGTCCTGCTGCTTTCCCGTTCTTGATTTGTCTGACGGCCATTCTAATTTCTTCCGTAGTCGGTGGATTGACATCTATAGGAAGATCTATGTGTGCTGCTTCGATGTCCGGTGGATTCATTGGAGCCGGCCTATTCAGGAGTTCCTTGAAGTATTCTACCCATCTGTTACGTTGTTGTTGAATTTCGGTGATTGGCTTGCCTTCTTTGTCTTTGACCGGCCTCTCTGGTTTACTGTATTTCCCTGATAGTTTCTTCGTTGTATCGTAAAGCTGTTTCATGTTTCCTTCTCTAGCAGCTTTTTCTGCCGTCGTTGCTAGTTCTTCCACGTATTTCTTCCTGTAGGCTCTAATGCTCCTCTTCACTTGTTTGTTTGCTTCTATGTATTCAGCTTGTGCTTGTACTTTCTCTGCTCGTGTTCGGCTGTTGTTTATTGCTGCCTTCTTGTTCTTCCTTTCTTTGATCTTGTCCACTGTTTCTGTAGAGATCCATTCCTTATGATGGTATTTCTTTAGACCGAGAACGTCTTGACACGTTGAAGTTAATGCTTCCTTGATGCCTTTCCAGTTGTCCTCCATAGTAGTTTCTTCTTCTTTCAGTAGATCTCGTAAGGCTTGGAACCTGTTGTTGAGAGCTATCTTGAATTCATTGAGTTTGACAGTATCTCGAAGAAAGGCTGTATTGAACCTTTGTATTGCTGTTTGTCCACTTGTCCAGTTCTTTTTTAGCTTCAGTTTCAAATTGGCTACAACTAGGTGGTGGTCTGAAGCTACGTCAGCACCTCTCCTGGTTCTCACATCTTCCATTGTCCTTCGGAATTTTTTGTTGATGCAAATATGATCTATTTGGTTCTCTGTAGTGTGGTCCGGTGAGATCCATGTAGCCTTGTGTATACGCTTGTGTGGAAATATTGTGCCTCCTATGACCAATTTGTTGAATGCGCATAGATTTGCAAATCTTTCTCCATTTTCGTTTCTTTCTCCCAGTCCATGTCGTCCCATAATATCTTCATATCCAGTGTTGTCTATTCCGACTTTGGCATTGAGATCTACCATCAGAATAGTGAGGTCTTTTCTTGGGCATTTCTCTATCACTGACTGCAGCCGCTCGTAGAATTGATCTTTAATGTCGTCGTTGCTATCATTGGTGGGTGCATAACATTGGATAATATTCATTAAGATCCCCTCCTTCTTTGTTTTGAATGATGCTTTGATGATTCTGGATCCGTGAGATTCCCATCCTACAAGTGCATTTCGTGCTACTTTGAACAGCATAAGAGCGACTCCCTGAGTGTGTGGAGCATTGTCCTCTTCGTGACCGGAGTATAGCAGCATCTCTCCCGTAGCTAGCCTTTTCTGTCCAGCTTGGGTCCAGTGGGTTTCGCTGATTCCCAGTACCGCTAAGTTGTATCTCCTCATTTCCATTGATATTTGACTGGTCTTCCCGGTTTCCCACATTGTTCGAACGTTCCATGTACCTATAAAAATTTTTGCTCTGGTTGTTAGAAGGGGCATCGGCCTCGTGGCTTCCGAAGGAACTCGGCTTTCACCATGAAGCGTCATAATTCTTCTAAATGAAGACCTTCTAACTCCCAGGGCAGAGTTAAAATGGTTTGGATTATTTTTTCTGGTAAGCGTTTTTTTAGCGAGTTAGTTTTCTACGGGATGGGGACGCTAACCCCATGCCCAACCCTCCTACTTTACCCGGGCTTGGGACCGGCAGCAACCCTATAAGAGCTACAGGCGGACACACATACGCTTACATAAAAACGGTCAAGGTTGATAAGCGAATAATTAACAAAGTCAAAAATGTGGCTCAAGGAGAATGAATGAATTGGCCTGTCCAAAAGCTAGAATAAGCTATATGGGCTTGACATAGTGCCAGCACGTCAAAGCCCCCTGTAGAAAATAGCAAATTAACCTTAAAATGTCTGTTTTCGAAATTAACACAGAAGATGTGTGCGGTTAACGAAAACAATAACTAGCGAACAAAAATTTTACTGTATCTGATAGAGTAGTGTCGCGTAAGGAGTGAATGTATTGTCACACTTATGTAAAAAAAGCACATGAATATTGTAAAGATGGGGACAAAAAATGGAATGTTAGCATGCGATTATGAGCAAATTATCAAGCGTACAAAAAATTAACATATATTTATTTCGTGACTGTTTGAATGATTAAATGACACGTACGTATGAGCGATTCAAAATATCGTGAAAACAGAGTGATAAATCGTTCATGGGTATGACAGAGGAATATACCGTGAGAATAAGTAGGTTGCAAGTTGTCTGATGTATGAGCAGGTAGTAAATATATCGGAAATATATGACATGTGATAGCCATATATCCGCAAAAATGAAAGATAATAACTAAGTCATTGATGCGATAATTGACCCAGAACAAAATAAAAATGAGATATCCTAGCAAAAGGCTTATCAGAATTAAAGGCATCCACAGACATAATAAATGATATCGAAATGAAAAATGTTTGGTATAGCATTAAAATGATCTCGCCTAAGTAAATGTGTGTAAAAATAGGGCGGAAATGGCACGAAAAAAAATTGAGCGGACTCACTCAAGACGGAAAAGTTTTACGTTATTGAATAATAGGAAACAGTCCAGTGAGTTTCAAATGTTATAACGTGAATGGAATGTTCATAAAATTATAATTTCTTCGGTGAGTGATATGATTGTGTATATGTCATAATCCAATGTCAGCACGAACAAAAATAATAATTCCACGTTAGGTGATGATATGACATTAATTTTGGTGGAGTTTTGTTCTCTGAGCTGGATGGTTTGGTCGTGTCGATGGCTGTTGTCAAGATTTCCAAGTGTTCTGACGTAAGTGTCCTTTGTAGCTTCATCTTTTGGTCCTCTATGACGTGTTGGTATTTGCGGATTCTGTAGTGTGCATCCGTTATCATTAGGTGTACCATTTTTCTTCCACTTTGCTCAGCTATTTTCCATCCTAATGGGCAGTTGATTGGAGGTCTATATCTTACACTTGTTGGTAGAACATGCTGGCGAAGACACTCATGGAGAAAATATAGTTGTTCTCGAGTGGAAGCCTGCCTTTTGGCGAAATTCTCCCATTTTCGAACAACGAGAAGCGTATTACGCTCATATGATTTTGAGATGGTGGAGAAGATTTGTAGCTCAGGTGGATGATTTTGTTGGAGTTTTGTTCTCTGAGCTGAGATTAAGTCGTTTGAGTTCCTCATCTACTAAGTCACGACCAAACCATCCAGCTCAGAGAACAAAACTCCAACAAAATCATCCACCTGAGCTACAAATCTTCTCCACCATCTCAAAATCATATGAGCGTAATACGCTTCTCGTTGTTCGAAAATGGGAGAATTTCGCCAAAAGGCAGGCTTCCACTCGAGAACAACTATATTTTCTCCATGAGTGTCTTCGCCAGCATGTTCTACCAACAAGTGTAAGATATAGACCTCCAATCAACTGCCCATTAGGATGGAAAATAGCTGAGCAAAGTGGAAGAAAAATGGTACACCTAATGATAACGGATGCACACTACAGAATCCGCAAATACCAACACGTCATAGAGGACCAAAAGATGAAGCTACAAAGGACACTTACGTCAGAACACTTGGAAATCTTGACAACAGCCATCGACACGACCAAACCATCCAGCTCAGAGAACAAAACTCCACCAAAATCATCCACCTGAGCTACAAATCTCCACCATCTCATATGACATTAATGTAATGATGAGGATATGATAATTATAGTCATAATGGGACGATCCATCAAAACGATAAGTGAGCAGAGTTGACACGAAGACAAAGTACATATAGGATAATGCGATCTGAGCATGTCCATGTCGCTGCTGTACCGGTGATGATGAATGCATCGGATTAGAGATTAAGTCGTTTGAGTTCCTCATCTACTAAGTCAGCCACTTTGTCCGTTTATCACACCCATAGAGTTCGAGATGTACACCGTCTGTCCAGATTTGCAGGATGCGTTTGGTCCGAAATCGAACTTACAACTTTATTAGTGTGATGATGATATCATCTATGAGGTTATCGAGTTCTTCCTGTCCCGTTTAGCTGGACAGCACACAAGCGACTGTTTATTCGAGTCCCGTCTAGGAAAGCCTGTTTTAAGTTGGAATTTAATGCTAAACCTACACCAGTGAGGTCACGGGAACTAGCAGTGGGGTCTCCAGTCACTTTTAGGGCAAATCGTCCCGATTCTTTATACTGACAAGGTGAGGTCAAATGAATGACTGTACTTGGACCCTGTATGAGCGTTTTGGAGACGCATTACACGTCGATGGCGCAAGATTCTAGGGTTTTAGCTAAAGGAGCATGTTGTGTCATCCGACACAAGGTTCGAATATTAAAAGCTCCAACATATAGTTTAGAGCATAGTTTCAAGAGGCCAGAAATAACATTTCGTGAACTCAAATCATTAATGTTAGTGGCACGTGGTGATAAAGATAAGTTAGAAGGGTTATTCATGGGGATGAAAGAATTATTAGGATAAAGGAGTGGTTCCATCGTCAATAAGATGACCTCGGGTGCTGATAGTAGTGTTAGAATGGTTGTCACTTCCCGGTTGCCCACACCGCGGAAAGATATTTCTTCTTGAGGGACCTGAAAAGGATGTTGAATTAGTGGCGGTCTTGGTGAACTAGGAGTGTGACCACAGAGCCCAACGGACAACTGCTTAAGGCCAGTTGCGCACGGGCTTTATATGGGACGTTTTGATGAGTTTGCTTCGCACTTCAAAACGCCTTACCGCCGAATGCAGATGCTGGTTGTCCGAAAAAAACACCTTACTGCACCCACACTCCACTACAGTCAGCAGTACGATCTGGCCTGTCGGCCTTAAGTTGCTGCTTTTAGTATTACCGTCTTCCAACCGACCTCCCTGGTGTGGCAGCACCTAAAGAAACAAGTGCTTACCCCGACGTAGTTCAGTAGAATCATCACGATAGGCAAGTCCGACCACCACATCGATAGCAGCTATGGTCGAGCGAACGTTGATATATATAAAGTAAAATAGCTCATTATCACTAGGAGAATTATTATCTTATCAGTTTTATTTAATTCATGTATAACTGTTAGCACCAGAGATTAAATGTAGTTGATTACTTTTGAAATCCAGAAAAAAATTATATAGTGAAAAAATACTATTTTCATAGACCTACCACCCAGAGCAGCAACCTGTCCGGCCATCAAGAGTACATGCCCGTTGTCGATGGTTTGAAAAAGTTCGACACTAACAATACCTTTCCGTATGGTATTGGAAACTTTAGCACCTGAAGAAGCACGCACGTATATATATAACCAAACTAAATTTACCTAAAAGAACAGAACCGCTTAATTCACAGATTGTAGCAAGAATACAAGCTTGTTTCAGTGTTAATACTTTGGCCCCAACACTAGTCCCGAATGAATTTGCCACATCATTTGCACCAATTCCAAAAGCAAGAATAAAAGCTATTATGAAACCAACAACGACCATCCATATTTGGTCTTCAGGGATCAACATGGTTCATAAGAACCAAAGACTGCAAGATAAGATCTTAATATCACACGCCCAAGTAAACTGGTGGGTTGAAAAATAGAAAACAAATATATTGTAGATGTTTGCTGATAAACAAAGAACAACACCAAAGATATATGTATATCTGGTTATACGAACCAAAGTTATAACTTAGATGGATGTGGACCTTCCCTAAGTTTCTAGAGATAAGCTCAAAATAATAAAAACAAGATGATCTATTAAATCACGTGAACACTTCTTTAATTTCAAGATTCGAGCTAGCGTATAACGTTATGAGATTTCATGCATTCATGTCAGACATTTTTTCACCTAAATGTCCAGTTTTGTAATTTTCCCATACTGTTTCCATAAAGTATCGAAGCAAAAGAGAGGAAAAATGTATTCCATAAACTTCATTTTTTGTTGAGCTGGCTTTATAAAATGTAGTCACAAATCTATTGAAAAAGTACACATTATTGAGTAGACGATCGACAGCGCCACAGTATTACTATATAGATCTACCCCCGGAATTGATGACACCGGTAGTAATCATGAGCATGTTTGATAAAGTATCTCCACTTCAACCCAAGATTTCATCTCTTGAGTAATCGAGAGCTCTATAGACAGTATCTACAACAATCACCCACTAAGTTCTAAGTTCAACCCTTAAGATGTTAGTGGGTTAGCCATATGAGTAAACATACAGGCAAACAACACACTCTAGGATTCAGGTACATCCTGTTTAGTTTTATGATTACCACATCAATTTAGAAGAGGTTACGCGGGTGACATGTTAGTTATCCTGAAGAGAGATCACTTGCAAATATTCGTAGGTTGGTCGACGTTAACAACTACAGCAAATTTACAATTAAAGAAACAGAAGACAGGGTCTTGTTCTTTGATATTTTAGGCAACAGAGTAAACAGAGGGACGTAAAAAACAAGTATGGAAAAAACTAAGGTACACAAAGCAAGTATTAAAAGCTACAACAGCATACAAAACGAATTATGTCCAGACACTAATCACAGAAGTAAAAAAACAAATCTGGCAACCAAGAAACAGATCGCCCTACGATGTGCGAAACTCATCTCAGAAATCATCACAAGGGCTCTAAAGCTCTTTGGAATAACCGTCGCCCACAAACCAATGCAACCGCTCTATTTCATTCTATACAGACCAAAAGACAACAACAAAAGAAGAGAAATGAGACATCATTTACAAAATAAATTGCACCAACTACGGGACCTATCACACTGAACAAATTGAACGTCCTCCTCATCTATCCATAAATGAACACGGATCAGCAATAGAGAGACGTGATATGGTGTCACTGATATCGACATATGTAGACAACCATGGACGTGAGTTTAACTAGAGAGAATTCGAAACTATCTGTAAGAGAAATCCCAAGACGGCCAGGGAACCTCCGTGGGGAAAACACTTAAGTCCGCTGGGAATAAACAGGTGCATTGATGTCCACCCAATCTACGAACCTACATGAAATAGGCCAATTAATCATAGTGTTAGATTTCAACCAGCAAAGACAGTCGATACGAATACAACGACAAATGAAGGTAACAAAGTGTACGAAGGTACCAAGTAATAAACATGGCCATGGGAACAGATAGATGCAGTGTTTGTGGAACAACCAGAAAACTCACTTCTACGTGGAGTGGGGGTTTAAGATTTTGTCCAGAATAACAACTAAAAATCGACAGTCAAATCACCTAACTTATAAAACAAAACCACCAGAAATTAGTCCATATGGCAAACTTTACTGCTACAGAAGCATAACATAGCTCATTACATCAGAATATTTACAAACAAAATTGGTAGTAAACAGATAAAAGTTATTCAATGCACTGAAATTTTACTTCATTTGAGGGTTTAATTCACAAGCGCCACCAAGTTTCCGTCAAAGTCTTAAAACGAAGAAAAAAGATCTCACAGAAGCTGGTGTTACTTTAAACAACAGAGAAATTGTTGAAGTGTCTTGAATTCTAGTAAATCATTAATTAGATCTGAAAATCCAGTGTTAAACAGATTTCTAGTTGGCTTTTATTCGTTCTCTTAGACTGCTGTTCCTATGTTTACTTTTATAAAACTTTCGGTGATGTCATTTTTACCACGTGGTTTTTATCTTTGTTTATTGAACTTACTGGACTGATATGAAGTTTGATAACAAGAATCAACACACAACCGTATCGAGTTCTACGCTGAGATCATTGACAAACTAGTTTCTCCTGCATTATATCACCTATATTGAGAAATGGGTGGAAATTCTAAATAATTTCAGCTTTCTTAATTTACTAATTCATTGGATATACTCCCGATGTTTGTGATATATAGCTGATGTAAATACGCCTATTTAGTTCTTGGTAATTAACGACCTCAAGAACAATTAACGAAGCCAAACAAGATAGTTATTCAGTTAATTAAAGATAGTACAATGATAAAACTAACAGGTAGCGGCATAAGTGTATCAGCCATATCGGCATGTAATTACAGTAATTTTCATTTGACGTTTACAGTAACTGAGTACGGAACAAGACCAATCAAATTGGTGAGATGTAGACAAAACAATAAATACGAATCCCTGTGTTACTGAATCATTCTATGAATCCAACATTTACATGAGCTGGATTACATTAGTGTATCATCATCAAGACTTTTTTGGAACCCATTGTCGACACATTTCCCATCACATAGACCAACTCAGAATTTTTCGGTACAAATGTATGAGGAAACAAAAGACATACCGTGATCTGACTACATGTTATCTGTTATGTATTTAGATCGAAAGTTTACCATCAATCACTGAAAGTTCTCAAGGTTATCGACAATATCTAACGTTATTAGTGTCGATTACGATGCAGCATACAGCACATAGATACATAACATAAGTGGTTTCTGAACACTTTATTTATCGCTTTATAACTCGAAATGCATGGCGTTATTGAGCAATCTCAAGTTTATGATTTCGAGAGGTACACTGAAATTTCGTTTTAGATCAAGAATCACGAGTTTAGGTAAAACCATAACTCACGGACAAACTTGGAGCGACCCCGTACCGATCGTGAGAGTGGTAACCTACGGATTAGGACTAAACAAGGGTTGCAAAGCAGTTAGAATTCTTATTTACGGTTGATCGTTAGGGTTAAAAATTAAATTTAAGGTTTTCATCACAAACTGACATCATCTACAGTGCCAAAACTCTATTTGGCCAAATTTATCGATTCATTTCACGCCTAAATTTTCAACTTGCTATCTTATATCTGATCGGTTCGTCCATAGATTATAGTCTTGCACAAGTTGAATTATCCTGTGTTTGGCGACATAAGCTTCCCAGTGAGGTTATCGTTGTGGTATTGAATACAAAAAAATGGTTGCGATTTTATAAATACTTCTTTATTAAACTGCAATAATTAAAAATAAAGAAGAAACCTTACAAAAACGAAGCAAGCGAAAAATAACGTGGCAAACAATCAACGCGCCAAGAGTTAATAGTAAAATTAAAGCTTTGTGATCAGTAATAACAAGCTCAAGGGCAAACTGTTATACAAATTTTATACAAGTCTTTAGGTATGTTTACTTCCTGCAATCAGCAAATTCAATGTTTATTCTCAATTTTAGATGAAAATGTTATTTTTAGTAGTTACTTGTATTTGCGCAGTTTTCAGTAATAATCCTGTCATTTTACCTTTCAGTGAGATCTGGCTTCTCCTTGAAAATATTTACTGATGGGGCTGATACCACTTGTTCATGCACGGCGTTCCTGTCATTGACTAGTCGATGATAAAACTGGACCCTACTTTAAGTTTATTAGTTGCAGGTTTGTGAACCTTCTGGCTATGACCTCGGAGATTATTAGTACTAAAGGGAGCAAAAAGATAAGGCATATTAACACCCAACTCATTATTAAAAGTACGAATTACCAGTATAAGGTCACCTCGCGTCCTACTGTAGAGGTGAATAAATCCCCAAAATAAATAGCCCTGTAAGTTTTCGACCACATTAGTTTTAACAGACGCACTTGACTGAAAGCGCTCCGTCATGCATCCGCACCAAATCACAAGTGGAATCACCGTGCTCAAAATCCAATGCAATCGCTAGCCAGTCTAGATCAGTCAATTCTCGATAATATTAGTAACCTATCAAATATATCTTTGACTTTTGATTTGACTAGGTGGGCTAGGTGGTTAAAGTGTCGTCAAACTCTAAATACCTGCGACATGTTCACTACGATATGACAAGGAGGAAAGGTTTAGACGTTTCAAGCGCTCATCGTATGAAAGCTTGGAAATGCCCTTCATTAATTTTGTTCTCACATGCTTAACATGCTCAAATTAGTTAGTGTCCCTTATCAGACATGGGCTAGCTGCTTGGATACAATACTCTAAATGTGATCTTACATAGATGGGATATGAATTTCGAAACATCTCGTCAAAGCATTTGAATGCTCGCCTAAGTGACCATAACTCACGAAAACCTTCGACAGCAGCTGCGTTGCATTGAGCAGTTGTTTCCGAGTCATGACTTATTATTGCTCGCAAGTCTTTATGTTCTTGAACGCGTGGATGAGATGTACTATCAATAGTAATAATGGTAACTATTACCGTGTCCGATGTGCATGAGCACACTTTTCCTAGAATTAACTTCTAAGCACCAACCTCGAACCCATCTGACAAATTAGTCTAAGATCAAAATGATCAGCCCCATTTTTTACTGTTCCCCAGATTTTGACATCATCCGCAAACAATAATGTCGACAACTTAAGCAATAGCGGTAGTTCATTTACATAGCGAACGAAAGGTAGGAGACTTAAGATAGTGTGGAATTATGGTCTACTATGATATTAGTACTGCTCTAATAATAGACCTAATCCTAAATTTGTAGATTTGTCATGATATAACTCCCTAATCTATAAGATCTTACGTGGAAGTCACACCATCGACTACACCAACTCACTGTATCGTATCAATTACCAATACATGATGTAGAACAAG